TTTAGATGTGCCTGTTGATAGAGAACTTGACCTTTGATCTGCTTTCACGTTTCTGAGCTCTGGCGAGATACCTTTTCACAATGCTTTACTTTTTCAAGGCCCGTGCTGCTTTATTTTTACAAGGCCTGAGGCCTATATCGGGTAGAGGCCCTTTTAATGTGGGGAAACGAGGGGTGATGAGGGGAGGAGAGAGAACGTACTTGGTATATCCTGGTGGTCGGCATTGGTGTTGGAGAGGAGGTTAACGGAGGCTTCAATTTGCAGACCACTTGTCAGGCCATTTATAACAAAACCCAAGGGTCATCATTTTAACCGAACTTGCCACCGATTCAGAATTTATTTTTTTATAAATAATCTCCAATGAACTTTTCAGGGTTGAGGGGGTTAACTGGGGCTGAAAAGTGGGGGTCCCTGTTAACCGCTTATGTGGTGTTCACGTCACGTACATTGGTCTTCGACTTCGATGTGTGCTGGTCGCCTGAACTTAGCTACGACAGATAGACTGAGTAGTGTAGGCTGGGCGGTGGGCGGCAGACACTAGGAGTGACATTGGATACAGTGTTGGTGTGACCAGAGAGCATCAACATTGGCAATCGAGCTCATTGTATTACTCTTATTTGGATGGTATCTTGGTGCATTTGTGCTCTCTGCTTGGTATATGACTATCTGGACTACGTGATTTTGCAACTTGGTTTTCTGTCTATCGCTCTTGCTCATATTCCTACTGGAAACTCGGTCCCGACGTGGACGAGCAGGCAGTGCGCCCGACTTTCGATATAGGAAAGTGTCGGGGGCTGAGGGATGCATTTGGGCACTTGCATGCAGATGTGGCAGCGCTGGTGGTGGTGGTCGTGGTGTATGAGGGAGAAGACGTGGGTGTAGAAGTCGAGGGCGAGAGGGAGAGAGGGATAAGTTTGATGATGTGAGGGCACGTACCTGGTCTTGGCGGTCTACAGGGTCGACATCTTCATGTACTTCGGTTCTTGCTGCTGATGTCAACAGGTTGCATTGTCAATTCGTAGTCCGAGTTGTAGCGGTGTGATAGTAGTCTGGGCGCTGAGCGCCAAGTAGGAGGAAGGGCTCTGGATACATACGTTGGTGGTGGCAAGAGTATGCTCTCATTGACATTTGGATTCGGTGCTTTGGTTCTCCGTTGGTGAATATCAGTACATATCTGCTTTCTGGACAGCGTTCGACTTTCTGGCTTTCAATGTGATTTTGCATTCTGGATTTCTGTCATTTCGCTATCGCTCATTTTCCTTGCACTTTGGTCTGTGTCCAGATTTTCCCCTCTTTTTTTCTTTTTTTCCCGTCGGATTATTGACAAAGGGGGGACGACACCGAACATTTTCTTGCATCTGGAAGGATCTCAATGTTCACACCTTTTTTTTTTTTTTTTTAATAGATCCAAAAAAGTAAAAAGGAAAAGGAAAGGAGGATTTGAATGTTTGGAATCTGTGGGATCTGTGCGGGTTAACATAGTTGTCTGTGTCCAATTCAGCCCTACCATCTTCACCCGAATAGAACACCCGGTGATTATAGCTGTATCTGGGCCGGGAGTTGCCCCAAATACAGCTATAATGACAGGGGGCACCCGAATAGAACACCCGGTGATTATAGCTGTATCTGGACTGGGAGGTGCCGCAAATACAGCTATAATGACAGGGGGTTCCTATTCGGGTGAAGATGGTCGGTAGGTACAAATGGTGGAGAGTAGAGTTTATCACCTTGATAATTTGAGACTCTTGCTTGAGTTTTCTTTTCTTTTCTTTTTTTTTTATAATAAAAAATGCGAGGCTACGCCCGCTTAGCCCCTACGGGGCCCTATCTGCAACGAGGTCGGACGCCCTAAGTGAAGGCAGGCACGACAGGCCCTTCGGGCCTCATTCTTCAGGGTACCCCGCAACGGGGAAATTCAGACAGTTGCATTGCGCCAGTTGGTTGAATGAATCCAGGCCCTGGGCCGCCTGTGCAAATGAATGTGAAGCAGGCCCTGGGCTGGATACGGGTACCAGGCCAAACACAGGCCGAAAGCAGTTGGGCGCATGCAACCACTTCAGGCCCCAGGCCTGCTCCCTTCGTGACTGGGCCTGTGCCTACCGGGGCCTACCGGAAGTTTCCTGGACTGGACGCAGGCAGGCCACTTCGATATAGGGAAGGGCCTGCCTCCTCATTCAGCATTCGGGTGCTGGCTGCATGCTGCGTGAGCGCTGCTGCGCAATCCGCTGGCTGGCACTCACGCTCTCACGGGCGAGTAGGAGGGAGCACGCAGCCATAGCCAAGCTGCGCTGCTGTATGCTAGGTGAAGCGCAGGGTGGTCCTTGGGGTGCTAGTTGCATCTGTGCGGTGTGGATCGGGGTTGTGAGTGTTACGAGAGACATACCTGGTGCTAAAGCGTGCGACATTGGTCGCCATATGCTCGTACTTCGGGAACGCTGTTGATGTCATCATTCTGCTTTGTAGTATAGGCTAGATAGGATCTGCCACTTGTAGTCTGGGCGCCGAGCGCCAATAGGATATCAACTCTGGTTCGTAGTTGATGATGATGGGACTACTTCAGCATTGTCAATTTTGAACTCTTGGTGTGTTCTTATTTGGTGTATCTCGTGATGCCAGTCCGCTGTGGTTCGAGGTCAAGACTATCTGGGCTCATATGTATGATGCTGTTTGATTGCCAAAGTTCGCTAATGCTCATCTTTCTTGCAAAAACATGTCCTTATGGTCCTGGCTCCATATCCATTCTGGGAAGTGTCAGTTCTGTTCCTATTGAGGATGGAGTGGCACAGAACAAGATTCTTTTTTTTTTTTTTTTTTTTGCACAGAACAAGATTCTAGCACAGTTCACTAAGAGCATACTCACACTAGGAACTTTTTACTTATTTCTGGATTGAAATGCAGCCAAATACATCCAGGTCTGGCCGTAGCTACGTTCAGGAGCGTGGTAGTGCGAGTACGCCCTAAGGTTTGGCTGGCAGGTGGCGAAGTGGCAGAGATGTTGAAGGATGAGAGGTCAGCCAACAAATGGACAAGTCGCGCCACAGGCAGGGCAAAATCTCAGATTGCAAGATGCCGAAGTTCTTTTTTCCAAATGTTTTTTTATTTTTTTATTTTTTTTTGGCGGGGACCATTTCGCCTTGTGCAAGGGCCATGGTCATCTGCCCTGCGCTCGATCAGTCCAATTTGAAGCCACCAGTACATCTGGAGAATTGGAATGAGCCTCTCCGAAAAGTTAGGGCCCTTAGGGGGCTCGGGACAGGGTCTGGCTGTGGACAGGCGGAGTTTTTTTTTTCAGTTCATGGCTGGGCCTTGGCCTAGTGGCCCACCCCACGGCATGGGGGACAATTCTTTTTTTTTTTCTTCTACTGGCTCTTTGGACGCCCTGTCCCGAGCCTCTGAAAGTTTAGGAGAGGCTCCATCGGATTCTCAACTTGGCTGGGGCCATGTACTGGTGGTTTAACGGATGTCCCAAAGGACGGACTGCTCGAGAGTTAATCGCTTTGATGATGCCGTAATCCTTTCGCCCAAGTTGCTCCGATGGCTCTACCAGAATGCACTTGGACGACTACACTTCCTGGTATGGATTGTGTACCTGGTCGTGTTCACACCCAGATTAATATTCTTTGTTGTTTCTCTCTTGTTGTTCTGCTGTTGTGCACCCTCTTTGTCCCACATACTTGCTAGCATCTCCCCCTCCTCCAGGACCCCCCCTTTTTTTCCTGAAACCAAATTTGAAATTTCCCTTCGAGGATCATGTTTCTGACAGTTAGTTGGTCAGTGTGTCCACAGCTTTTTCTTACTCTGTTTTTTTTTTTTTTTTTTTTTTTGCTGCAGGATGACAGCAGAGCACTGGCAGCAGAACTTTTCCCCTCTATTGCACTCCAGGTCAAGCGGAAGAAGGATCATGGTATATAAGTCTTTTTTTTTTTTTTTTTTTTTTTTTTTTTTTTTTTTTCCTGTGTGTGTTTGTGTGTGTGTGTGTGTGTGTGTGTGTGTTTTGTCTTTTTTCTTGCATGACATCCCTTGTTTTGCTCAATCCTCTCTACTTGCTCTATAAAAAGAAACAAGTGCGCCCAGTGCGGCGAAGTCGTGCCCCAGTCCTGCCTATAAGCCGTCTGTGTGTGTGTGTGTGTGTGTAGGATGAGCAAAATTGGAATGAATCTTCAGCCAGAACATGGAAATATACACTGCCACACAGTTTTATTTTTATTTCCCATGTGTGAGCAAAATCGGAATAATCTTCAGCCAGAATATGGAAATATACACCACCACACCACCTTTTTTTTTTTGTGTGTGTGAACAGGTAAGTTTCCAACCTCGTGGCTGGCCTCATGGTACTCCCATAGATAGGATGAGCAAAATCGAATGAATCTACTGCTAGAACATGGAAATATACACTGCCACACTGGTTTGTTTGTTTGTGTGTGTGTGTGTGTGTGTGTGTCACAGAGAGAGTGTCACAGAGAGAGAGAGAGAGAGAGAGAGAGAGAGAGAGAGAGAGAGAGAGAGAGAGTCACAGAGAGAGTGTCAGAGAGAGAGAGAGAGAGAGAGTTTTCCATCGATAGGATGAGCAACGCACCGGCCAACAGTTAAGTCTCCAACCCCGCGGCTGGCCGCATGCTACTTCCATCGCTACGATGAGCTAAATCGAATGAATCTTCCGCTATACACTACTACACTCGGGCGTGTGATGTTTAAGTATATTACAAACCCCATCTGTCAACATACCAAGAAATGGTTTTCCTCCCTAAGATGCGTTCCAACGCTTCGCAGTGAAGTGCACTTACAAGCAAAAGACGATGAGTGCCCACAACATAGATACTAAAGGTACACAGGCACACCAAAACGGCAAGGCAACAACCAACAAGCAAGAAAAAAAATGTGTCCAAACAACAAACACCCGAAAAAAATAAAAAACCGGTGATGATAGATTGTTTCGTCGGAGTTGCACCGACTCGTCAGTCTGTATTTGATGGTTTGGGTCATGAACCCTTTCACCCATGTTGAAGGCAGACTGTCCCCAAGTGGAACATAGCCTCGGGCAGCAACCCTGTGGAGCACCAGGCAACACAGTAGAGGCAACACGGCTGCACAACACGAAAACGACTGCAAGGAACGACATGGCACGCAGGACATGCAGCGCGGCAGCTGTGTAGTGAAGCACAAGGCAACACAAGCAAGGCAACCACACTGTAAGGGACAACAGGGCGAGCGGACCAGCAGCTCGGCAACCGTGCAGCGAAGCACAAGGCAACAGCAACAAGGCAAGCATCCAACAAGGCCCTCAAGCAGCAAATACGGAAGGCATGGCCAGCGGAAGGGCAGCAAGGCAGCGGAGCAGCGAAGCGCAATCAACACCAACAACACGGCCACACCACACAGCGAACGCATCAACCTGCGAAGAACCACGTGCGAAGCAAGCGGGACAGGCAGCAGGGCAGTGGTGGAGCGCAGACGAGGCCGTCCACACATCCAAAAAGCGGCACATGACCTACTCACGTCACGATTGAACCCCGCAGAATGTCAGTTCCCACCACCCACTGAGCCAGGGAGACACTCCGGCGAGCATCTGTCATCACCCACAGGCAACACAGACACCCCGAACAGAGCGCCCCCCCTAAGAGTGCAGTAGGCACTCCAGACGTGGAACCACCGACTGTTTGGCACTACTTAAGGGTGCTCAGTTGGTAAGCAAAAATACTTAGGGAGGACAGACAACAA